CCCCAAAACCCCAAAACCCCAAAACCCCAAAACCCCTACAGGCTAGCCTAAATTGAATTCTTGTACGATCGTTCATGCCGAACTATTACATTGTATGAAGAAGTGTCGGTGCTCGGCCTCAAGAGATTTGGCATGTTTCTGTACATTATAGAGATTTAAATACCTTGGATGATGCGGAAGAGAAGTACTCAAACTCTCCATACCTAGGCTCGACCCAAATTGGGTCCTAGGCCGAGTATTTTTATAAAAGATTTTGAAATTTTCCCTTTTCTGATTATTTGAACCAACTTTTGTACGAAATTTAGCTAGTGACGACTTTGTATGCTCTGCTACTGAAGAAGGTCGCTGGATCCTTCTAGATTTCAGAGATACTATAAAATTATTGTTACAAAGTCAATGGAGGTTTCTAAAGTCCAAGTTTCACCGCTTGAGCATGTCCAAATTTATTAAGTTTTTACAAACATTATGCGAATCATAGTCAGGATAAAAATTTTAGTGAGATATCTCCGTTAAAGTAAATGCTTGCTTCCAGAATTTGTCTTACAGGATTATATTGGCTAATATACCAGACCCAGATTGCTGAATTTGGGAAGATTCCACAAAGAAGGATTTTTACGATTTTTATGCATAAGAACAGCTGCTTACTTTTAGGTTTAAAAAGGACTTTATTTTTCACTCTCTCTTTGCCAAGGAAAATTCTTTGGTTGTTCTTAATCGAGTGCATTAGACTTTTTAAGACATAGCTCGTGCTTAAAGCTTTGTTCTTCCTCTTTACAGGATCTTTCATAAGGAAGGTATGGAAGCTTTTGATGGTACTTTTCTTCACTTTCAAATTCTAGAAACTTATGAACCATAATTACCTTAACCTTTTTCTTGTCCGGAGTCTTCATCGATGCTTTGTTCCAGAGCACTGAGCTATCACATTCCATTGTTTTATCAGGGAAGAATTGTGTTTGGAGCAGAGAATTCTTCTGCAGATTCCTGCTTACATTAACTTTTGGTGTTTTTGGATTGAAATTTCTACAAGAGTTTGCCTCTTTAACTTTTGAATGAATGTTCCCAAGGTCATCATTATCAGGGTGAAGCAAGCCATATTTTATCTTCAATCCGTCTGCAGTTGGCTATTTTTATCGATGAAAATTACTCGAAATGCATTTATATTTGTGTTTAAGCTTAACCTTGGCTGAAAGTTATTTTGCATTAGGTTCAAGGAAATCTCTACGCTCATCTACACAATAAGGAACGAATACTTTATTTTTACCTGGGACAAAAGTATCATTTTCTTTGGTATCCTCATTTGAATCAAAATTGGAAATCACAGATGAGCTCAGCCTTTGTCCTGGTCGCATGAAAGCTAAAACTTGGATTTCCAACTTTACCTCTTCTCCCACGTTTGGGATATCCTGATCTGCACTTATTCTTTTTATGACGATTATTTTGAACCAGAGTCTGAAGATAATGCCTGAAATTACCTTTGTCTTTTATATCTCTCTTCTGAACTGTTTGCTGAATTTCTTCAACAATCATGTTACTCTATGGAAGGATGATCTTGGTGAAGACTACCTTCAAAGAGTTAGATAGCTTTTGGCCAAATGTGAAGCAGTCTAAAACCATCTTCTGCTTTAATTCAGCTATATCATGCTCTTGTAAGAGCTTCCGGATGTGAAGATTCTTCTTTCCTTTGGAGCTGAAGATGTCCTTACTGATCATACCCCAGTAAGAGTCTGCCTTCTGGTTGAAGATGACTGGAGCAAATCCAAAAGAGGGAGAATGACCATGAACATTTGATATACCCTTATTTAAGTTCATTTAAAACTGGCTTTGTGAGCTTTCTTATCTTGTCTCTATTCCGCTGGTATAAGCTTTGATATTTATTAGATCTCCTTTTTAAATTATTGTTAAAATTCTTATTTGGTTGACTAAAGTATTTTAAAAGATTGAAGATACTGGCTAGAATCAGACTCTATACCAAATCATTATGATAATCATACCTCCAAGGTCACTTAGTGCAAAATAGTCATTGGCTTGATCTACTGAGGCTTCTTCTTCACTTTGTGATTCTTTACTGTCAAATTTTAGCGTGATGACTCCATTATTTTGCTCTTTAATGTCCATTCAGTCTATATTGAGTCATAAGAAGCTAAGTCAAGATATCAAGCTTAGAAGGAAGCTGGTTTCAGACATTTTAATTAGGATCAGAATTTAGCACATCATAAAAATTCGAACAAATTTTAGCCATTTCTCATATTCTACTTTGATTATAGTAATAATTATAACTAACTTCAACACGTCCTTCCCAATTGGGGTTTTGGGGTTTTGGGGTTTTGGGG